CGAATATTAAATTAAATATGCATGGTTTAAATCAAGAAATAAATCTATTCAGGAAAACATTAAGCCTGGAGATAGATTTTGTGGGTTCTTTTGGAGAAATAAAAGAGGTTACTTAGCGGTGAAGCTTTATACCATTCAAGTAGTACAGTCTGATGGAATACCATACTTTTCCTTATTTTTGGAAATGGCAGGATTTTAAATAATTGCAGGAAAGTATTATTATCCTCGAGTTTGACAAATGAGTATGCTTAAAGTGATAATACTTAGGTAAGGAGTATGCTTAGCTTATTTGCATCCCGCATTATAATTTATTTACTTATTAGCTGTTTAAATGCCGTGCTTAGTTATGAATATAAAAACGGCAATCCACAGAAGTGAACGGACACAATACGCTAATGTATTCTAAACCCCAAAACCTCGTGACTAGTGTATATTATGTAAAGTTTAAGCGTAGTATATAGCTTTAAATGATATTTTACCTCAAATTTCATTGTTATTGGTTCACTATAATTAATCCTCTGGCACAGCAAACTAAATATACTCAACAGCAAAGGTTCAAATATATAAAACATTAAGTTAACACATTTAACGTTTGAATTGGCACCCTAATTTTTATCTCTAGTCTAGCGCTTTTTTATTAGCTAAATCCAATTATCAAAGGTCCAACTCTGTTAGCAAAGCCGAACTATCAGGCTTTGGCTATTTCCTGTGGTTAGTTTTAGCAATTGGGAGTTTGAGATGAGATATAGTAATGAGGCCATTAAAACTATTAATTAATTTAGTTCTTTAAGATTTAGCCTATAAATTTAAACTATAGGATATTAGATTAAAGTGTGGACAGGGGATTTAAGCTATGCGTTCCTAATTCAACATTTTTCATTATATACACTTAGTTTTTGCTAAAAATAGCGACAGCTTTTTTGAAAATCATCTTACCTAATTGCTTTATACCTTCATATAGTTACAAATACTATATTGCTAAATGAAATTGCTAATTCATTTTTTGATCTCTGAAATCGTCTTTACGTTAGAATAGGTTTTAAAAGATATTTTAAGCATATATATATATATATATATATATATAAGCTATTTTATATATTTCACAAAACAAGGATATATATGACAATAGAACCCAGGTTTAAAGCTCCCTTTATCAACTTCCAAATTCCAAATCATAGACATTTAATAGTGCCCCCAGGCCACTAATAACAAATGATCTTAGGTTATTTACGCTAGGGATTAAACCCCACATTTTGCACAGTGTTAATTGCAGTATATCCAATATGTGCTGCACATTCCTTAGTGCACAACATTCAGTATATTACCTAAAAGAATAAAAGCATTCGACCTATATTAGACTCCTATTCCTTGAAGTCGAAAGAGTGTCTTAAATTGTTTGCATCTGATCCATTTAAACAATCTCCTGATCCTGAATAACTAGATAAAGAAATCCGCCATCTAACTTAGAAGGATCTCTCAGCCTCTGGTTAAGCTAGATTCAGTCATAGAAACTGAGTTCTTTCTATATTTATTCACTGTGTCTTCTTTAGAAATTAAGTAAAGCAAAAAGTTACTTGAAGGGAATATACCATGAAAATGTGTGCAATTCTTTTTAGCTAACCGAATTCAATGAAAATTAAAGTGAAATCTTTTACATAGTCCACTTGGATGATAAAGCTGATGAACGTGATTATGTACGGATACGGGTTGTGATAAAATATGATACTCAACTTCATTCTTAGGTGAAACTTATTCGACACGCTAACAATATGCAAGTCTACCACTAATTTTCTATCCTTCGGATCAATAAAGTATTAATTTTACATTTGAATGGGCATTATTTCTTGTAACTTGAATGATAAGTGAATAACGATTTTCGATTATACATTCTTAAAGTATATTTTGCCAAACATGGAATATAAAGAGTAACAAGGTGTTATACTAAATCTAAAGTGATTTCTTGGTGGAAATCATCTATGAGCATTAATCTGAATTAAGGGTAAAGTTGAACATTACGAAATAGAAGGAAGATATATTGAAATGTACAATTCTTGAGATCATGATCCTCATAAACTATAAGTGTTAAAGGAGAATTATTCTTTGTCGTATGAAGTCCCTTCGTACATTGTGAAATAACTTGACGTTGTCTACTTAAAGAAGTATAATTTAACGTATTCACGTTTCAAAATGCCGAGGTCATCTGAGATGAGCCATCTTATTCCTCTGTATTTTGAGTA